ATTCTATTCATTGTTTTCTTTACCTCTGATGATGACAGTGCCACATGTACTTATTAGGAACCAATGACATACTCCACAAACAATGAAAAAAGTAATTTGTAATATGAGTAGACCATCTCAGTACTGAGAAATTGCTCAGTCCGGGTGAGGTTTAAAAACATCAAACAAGAATCTGCCTGGAAAGCACTAGAAAATATGTCTGCTTACAAAAATAGTTTGCCTATTGGCAAACGTGGTTCTCCCGCCTCCTCCTGTAGAGGGCTTTTTAGAGGCTTTTTTTAAACAGTTAAGCACTAAGCAGAGTCATCCACTGTGACTCTGGCAGCAACTACCTCAGCCTTTTTCCTTTTACATTTCCTTTTTTTCATGATCACAGTGGTGAGGCTCTGCCTCCCCTGCCTGCATGTCACTGTTGCAAACATGATGAAATGTTCGGGCCTCTGGTAGATGGTGGGTCTAAGGCACTCTGCCACTAAGGTCAGCAGAGTTAGTCAAGGTGATAAAACATGCACCAATTGAATGTCAGCAGTAGGCTGTGAGTTCTGCCCTTTTTATCATATAATGTGTTGAGTCCATCTAGAAAAATGTTCAATGAAGAATTTTCACTTTGGCTTTTAGTCCCAAAGGTGCTTTTTTCCAGAGCCAACTGGACTTCCTAATTGTTGAAGAAACTTCTTGGATGGGAAGCGAAACATTTTCAAAGAAAAACCAGAAAGTCCAGTTGCCTCTGATGAAAAGCACCTTTTGGGACAACCTCTTTCCCATCTCTCTCGTATCTTTCTGTCTGTATTGCTGATGTTGTTCTTTCTTCTTCTTTGGATGCTTTTTACCATATGATTTAAATCAAAAATTTCAGATTTGCAGATAAATGAAGCTCTTTCAACCCCATGGACCATGGATGACTGAGAATCTCCATAGAACTTTGTGCTTTTAGGATTTGCAGATTGAAGGAGATCTTGCAAATTCTGTCCAGTCTGCTCACAGGGATTCTTCCTTCTTTAGGGTCCTGTGTCCTTTGCGGAGGTGGCCATCCATTTTAGCAGTGAAGAGTGGTTGCTACTTGATCCCAGCCAGAAAGCCCTGTATCAAGAAGTCATGTTGGAAATGTCCAGGATCATGGCCTCTTTATGTAAGGGTTCCTCTATACGTAACTTGTTAAAAATGATTTTATCTCTTTTTTCCTCTTACATTAATTCCAGTCCCCCTCATGGTTTTCCAAGTAGCAAAGTTTTATTTAGAAGAAAGAGATCAGTGACCAGCAAGGACTGACATTCAGTCTTGTGGTCATCCTTGGGCTTTGGGCCATTACTGCAGAGTTATTGGGAAGATGATCAGAGAAAGGATGTTTTTGTTTTTTGCAGTTGTCCTACTCAGCAACAAATTCTGTCTTGCTTTCTGTTGCAATGACATACATTATCTTATTGAATGCAAGCTGGGTGGGTCATAATCTTTTAAGTTAATAACTAATATGCATGCTGCCATTTCCCTCGTTCCTTTCTCTGCATATGCCCAGTAGTAGATACATGTATGCATAGGGACACCTAAGTGGAGGTTGTAGACTATTCTGATTTATTTTCATTCACCCGCAGCCTCTAAGGCGCAGAAGAAGGAAAACGACCAAGAGCCAAATTTGGTGCCATTGCAAATAATCAAAACTGAAATTCCTGTGGAGACAACTACAAATAATTGGGGAAGGAGGAAACCTGAAAAGAAGTACAATCTGAGAAAAAAATCTATTCTTGAATGTGTGGAAATGGATCGTTTCCTGACTGAAAGTGATTCCAAGGAAAATGCGGGGAAATCTCAAAGTAGAAAAAGATTCAAAGCAAAGCCCAATGTTAGTAACCACTGCAAAACTGCAAAAAGCTGCAGCATTAATAATGTTACTTCACATAAAATGAACCAGGCAAGGGAGAAGCCCTACAAGGATGTGGACTGTGGAAAAAGCATTGGGAGAAGAGGTAATTTAACTCCTCATAAAAAGATCCCTAAATATGTGGATTGTGGAAAAAGGTTCAGTAATAAGTATTCCCTTTCTTCCCATAAAAGAATACATAGTGCAGAAAAACCCTTTAAATGCATAGAATGTAAGAAGAGCTTCAGCAGTAGTAGTTACCTGATATGCCACAAAAGGACCCATACAGGGGAAAAACCTTATAAATGTGTGGATTGTGGGAAAAGTTTCAGTCTGAAGAATTCCCTTACTTATCATAAAAGGGTACATACAGGAGAAAAACCCTTTACATGTGTAGAATGTGGAAAGAGCTTCAAGTGTAGCATTCACCTGATGTGCCATAGAAGGATTCATTCAGGGGAAAAACCTTATAAATGTGTGGATTGTGGGAAAAGGTTCAGTATGAAATGTTCTCTTACATCCCATAAAAGGATACATACAGGAGAAAAACCCTATAAATGCATGGAATGTGGAAAGAGCTTCAGTGTAAAAAGTTCTCTTACTTCTCATAAAAGGACACATACTGGAGAAAAACCCTTTAAATGCATAGAATGTGGAAAGAGCTTCAGCAGTAGTAGTTACCTGATATGCCACAAAAGGATCCATACAGGGAGAAAACCTTATAAATGTGTGGATTGTGGACAAAGGTTCAGTGTGAAGGGTTCCCTTACTTCCCATAAAATGGTACATACTAGAGAAAAACCCTTTAAATGCATAGAATGTGGAAAGAGCTTCAGCAGTAGTAGTTACCTGATATGCCACAAAAGGATCCATACAGGGAGAAAACCTTATAAATGTGTGGATTGTGGACAAAGGTTCAGTGTGAAGGGTTCCCTTACTTCCCATAAAATGGTACATACTAGAGAAAAACCCTTTAAATGCATAGAATGTGGGAAAAGCTTCAGAACTAGTAATTACCTGATGTGCCATAGAAGGATCCATTCAGGGGAAAAACCTTATGAATGTGTGGATTGTGGAAGAAGGTTCACTGCAAAGTGTTCCCTTACGTCCCATAAAAAGGTACATACAAAAGAAAAACCCTTTAAATGCATTGAGTGTGGGAAGAGTTTCAAGGGAAAGGGTGCTCTTAATATTCATAAACTAATCCACACAGGAGAAAAACCCTATAAATGCCTAGACTGTGGGAAGGGCTTCAGCCAAAACAGTACCCTTGCTTCTCATAAACGGGTCCACACAGGAGAAAAACCCTATACATGCATGGAGTGTGGAAAAAGCTTCAGTGTAAAGACTTCTCTTACTTCTCATAAACGGATCCACACAGGAGAAAAACCCTATAAATGCTTAGACTGTGGGAAGGTGTTCAGGCAATACTCTGAACTTGCTTCCCATAAACGGGTCCACACAGGAGAAAAACCCTATAAATGCATGGTGTGTGGAAAGAGCTATAAAAGCAGCAGTTACATGATTCTCCACAAACGAGTCCACACGGGAGAAAAACCCTATACATGCCTGGAGTGTGGAAAGAACTTTACTAGCAAGACTTCTCTTACTTCTCATGAAAGAATCCACAGAGGAGAGAAACCTTATAAATGCATGGAGTGTGGGAAGAGCTTCAGCCGAAGCAGTCAACTTACTTTCCATAATAGGATCCATACAGGAGAAAAACCTTATAAGTGCACAGAGTGTGGAAAAATCTTCACTGCCAGTAGGTCTCTGACTTCCCATAAAAGGACCCACACAGGAGAAAAACCCTATAAATGCCTAGAATGTGGAAAGAACTTCAGATTTTACAATAACCTTGCTCTCCATAAGAGGATCCATACTCGAGAGAAATAGAAATGCACGGAGTGCAGGATGAGTTTTTTTGAAAAGAGAATGCATCTCAAGAGAGAATCCACAGTGGCCAGAAAATATCTTGCAGACAGCAATTAACTTATTTCCCTTACAGATAAACAGAAAAATAAATTAACAAAGAAGATGGACCTTCAGGTAATCAAAAAAGTTAAATATTTGGGAGTATATTAAGGAATTAAGGAACAATTATAAAAGATTAATACAACAAAAAATGGATTTGGAGAACTGAAAAACCTTGCAACTGTCAATGAGAGGAATAGCAACCATAAAAATGAATATCCTGCTAAAGGTACTTTTTTTGTTCCAAACGATCCCTATAAAGTTAGAGAGAAAATACTTTGATGAGCTAAATACAATAATCTTGAAATATATTAGAAGAAAAAGAAAAATGAGCAAGAAAGACTGAAAATGCGGCAAGAATCTAAAAACTATCGGGGCTTTGTGTTGCTGGATTGCAAACTTTATTACCAGGCTTCCGTACTAACTTGGGTGAAAGAATGGATAAATCTAAGAAGACTACTACTGTTGGAGGGACATGATCTTCAATTGGGATGGCATTCCTTTTTCTGGTATGAAAAGAATAACATACATAGATATTTTCAAAGACACGATGTAAGGAAGACTCTATTCTTAGTATGGGAAAAATGTAAAGCAAAAAACTACACAAAAATATCAGCTTGGTATAGATAGTTAAAATGGCAACTATCTATAAGGAAAACATGTATAAAATGTTTTACAGGTGCCATTTGACATCAGAAAGGGTACAAGGAAATTTAAAAACGTGTGCCAAATGTTGAAATATAATCTGATACTGGGTTCTTATTACCATATGTGGTGGATATGCCCAAAGGGGAAAAAATGCACACATAGTTAGAGAAAATGTTAAAGCAACATAAAGATTTAAAGCCAGAAATATTTTCTTAGGTATAACAGAAAGTAATAGATTGTGCAGATGGATAACATTAAAGATAAAGGACAAAGAAGACACAGGATTTGTTTTATCAATGGTTAGGCAATACAGGTAGTAATTGGAATTTGTAAGATTATTTCTAGGTATAAATGAATAATTTTATTACTATTATTATGTACAAGTAAATTGACCCAGACAATACACTGTTTACTAAGCAGTTAAATATGTTTAAAAAAATGTATAAATAATTTTTTTTAAAAAAAATATTTCCCTTATGAATATTACCCACATCAAGGCTACATACAGGACGGGAGGGAGATCCCTTGTGCTCCTGCCGCTTCCTGTGCACGCATGTACCTGCTGGGATGGCGTGGGCAGGGCCTGTGTCTGCATGTGGTTAGCGCCCCTGTGCACAAACACATCCGCCGGGATGGGATGGGCAGAGCCAAATGTAATGGGCTGGCTCCTTAGCGTTTCCAGGGTGGGTGCACTTACTGATCTTTCAGGCATGTTACTACATGGATGGGAAGGTGTCTGCAGCAGGGACTCTTCAGCTGGCCCTCCGAGAAACAGGCATGGCGGTGTTGGCATCGACAGCAGGCAGAGTCGGGGAAAGAGGCATGTGATGGGCACCACTGGGCTTGCCTATTCCATACCATATGGCTGGGACAGTGCAGATGGCTGCCTGATGCATACAGCAGGCTGAACCGTGTGCCTCTCCCCGCACCTCTGCCTTTGGCTACTGCTGTGGCCACGGGCCAAGACAAGGTGAGGACTGTGTGGGGCGGCTGCTGCTAGAAATCATCAGCCCACTTTTCCATCTTATCTCTCTTGCTTGTGCTTGGAGAGCAGGTCGCTGCTGGTCATCTCCACCCCCTCACGGATCTTGTACTTTGCCTGTGTGTAGAATGCGTTCCCATCACGCACCCTGGCACCATTGAAGCTACCAGCCCAAAGGAGGCAAAGTGGCTAGCTAGAAAGGTAGAGGTGACATAGAATGCTCATTCCCAGCAGGCAAAAGGCAGCCATCATGTGCGTTCAAAACTGGATATCAATTGGCACCATGGCAGCCCAAGCCCGGCTGGGATCATTTGCCTCTGCTTCCATCTCTACTGGGCCTGGGTGGCAAGGTTGACAATGGGGATCTGGCTTTGCCCACTTGCGGTGCCCATTTTTTGCCTACTGGGGCTGGGTGTGTTTTACCATTTCTACTCAGCCTTTTTAGCTGACCGCTTTGCCTCCTCACAGTGCTGGGTGGGTCTGCCGAGTGGCAGCAGTATTGCCACCAATGATGTGCCTCCTTCACCAGGGCTGCTTGGCGGGGAGAGCTGAACCCCACCCTGCCCTGCGAGGCAGCAGCTCCAAAGTACCTTCAGGGAGCTGCCCGACTGACGCAGCTCCTTCAGACAGAGCCCCTGAGGCTGCAGTCCCTTCCCTGGACTGAAGTCAGCCTCTGTCTTGTAGCCACTCCCTCCCTACTTCCTGCTGGGCCTGCTACCCGATGCACCTCGGCACTGCTGTCAGCCACTGTGGTCAGGTTTTGAGTGGAACAGGCTCCACCGGCATGCCACAAGATGGGGGAAACCGCAAGGGGCCTGAGAAAATGACCAGCGGCGACCTGCTCTCCAACCACAAGCCAAAACATAGTGGGACAGAGTTAGCACAAAATGGGGTGTCAAACATGAGACCCGCGAGCCAGATAAGTCCCACGATGTGATCGGATCCGGCCCATGTGGTTGTTTTGGAAACGGTAAGGTGCTGGCCTGTGTCACTTCGGCCTGGCCTATCACATCCTGGCGGGTGGCATGTGTAAAGGAGGAGGTGTCCGGACACACACACAGGCCCTGCACATGCCATCCAAGCAGGGGCACGTGCGCATCAGAAGAGGCGGGAGCACACCAGGATAGGGTAGGCCGGGTCTGTGTGCGCTTTTGCCAGGATGGCATGGGCCAGTCTTATGCGCTCATGCACAGTACCTCCAGGAGCATGCGAGTGCAGCGTGTCCCTAAGCAAACCGGCAGTAGCAGCAGCCAGAACTCACCCTTGGTAACAATGCTAATAAAATCCTGGCATTTTTATTGGAATTTAAGCCTTTTACTCTTTTCACAACTTGGAAGGTATTTTTGGCCTTAAGGATTTGCACTTTGATTCACAGTGGGGAGGTCCAGACAGCATCTATATTTGCCTTCCTATTTAATATAATTACATAATGTATTAATCAAATAAGTCCAATATATTCCTTATTGTCCAGCCAGCATTCTTCCCCTTTACAAATGAAGCCCTGAAAGAAATACCATGATTATTCTGAAGGGTCCTTGAGGGCAAGTGGAGGGCGAGGGTGTGAAAGGGGATCCAGTGTGGGGATCTGGGAGGGTCCAATACATTTGCCTCAGTGACGGTGTGACTTCATAGCTCCCCCAGGGGTTTTCCATCAGAGAAGCTAAAAAAAAGCCCTTGAGGGGGAAGAGGGGACCAGAAGGTGGCCCAATGTGGTTTCTGACAGGAATGGCAGGAGTCCAGTCCTTCCCTGAGGACCCCAAAGACACCCTCCCCTATGGTGGCTCTTCCCTCAGAATGACATTTGTCTCGCTCCTCTCCTCGCCAGAATAAGCTCCTCCCACCCCTCTGGGACTAATGCTGGGGATGATTACTGGCAGAAGAAGAATGGGATGACAGAGAATGAGGTGACTAGATTGAGTCACTGAAACAGTTGGTGTGGGCTTAAATGGACTCTGGGGGATGGTAGAGGACAGGAAGGCCTGGAGGAATGTTGTTGATGGGGTTGCGATAGGTCAGACATGACTTCCCGACTAACAACCCCTCTGGGAACTCCTTTCCCCCTTCTTCACCTGAGGGAATTGCATTGGGAGGGGAGGGGCCAAGAAAAAAGGGGAGGAGACACACAAGCTCCCGTGTCGCTCATGTCTCACCTGGGAGGGAGACTTCTCACCCAGCAGCATCTATGGACCCTCCCACTCCTCCACCCTTACTAGGGGTCCTCTTTCCCTTTGCTTCCAGGGCTCCTGGCCAACGTTCCAACCAGCAGCAGCAACAGGTGGAGCCCATGGAGGCTTCCCACAAGCCCCATCCCCATGAAAGGGAACAAGTGGAATTGGGATTGGGGCTTGATCAGGATGCTTCAGAGTTGGCTGCCAAATAATAGGTTCCGCCAATGGGACGGCTCCCTTCTGTTGAGTCATCTGTCTCTGGGTAGAATCTCTTGTGATTTCTCCCTGCGGGGAAAGCCTTTGGAGCAGAAACAGAAAAGGGGGAGGGGTTACGCAGATTGTGTGTAGCGCAACTCGAGGGGACCTTTCTGTATTCAAATGGGGAATCCCAAAGAGGACAGAGGTGGGCTCTGGGCGAAGCAATGGGTTCCTGATACACCAATACACCAAGAAGCACATAATTAGGTCCAAAAACCCTATTTTTATTTCAAAGGCTGTGAATTATATTCATTCACAGCCGGTAATGAATCCCAAATAGTTGGAAAGAGTTCTACAGGAGGCTGCCGAGGTCCTTCGGGATAAGGCTGATAAGCATCCACCTTTACCTTCTTTGAAAACACTGACAAAGACTTAATTGGCAATTAGCTTGGCAAGGCCACATGAAGCAAAGAGTCCAAATGGAATTTCAGAAGGTAAACTGACCAGCATGAACCAAGTTGCTTCCTACAAAGGCTCATGTGCCTTTGCTCCTCCTTTATGTCCTATGGGAGAGGGCAATCACCTCCAAACCTTACTCCTGAGTCCTCCCTTCTGTTTTAAGTGTTCTTGCCTTCTGGCAGCTCTGCGCATGCACACACTGGGAACAGGGGGAGCCTGTTTCTCTGCCTCGCTGCTGTCCTACTGGAGGCTCTGGAGACTGTACATAACTCCCAGATGGCCCTGGCCCCCTCTCTGCCTCCGATGCAGAGCCCTCATCTGAGCCTTCTCCAGACCCCAGGACTAGCCCATGTTCTTCCCCAACCTCCTCATTGTCTGACTCTGTTGCCACCTCTGCAGACCACCCGCGGACCATAACGCAATGTCTAGAGGAGGCAATGATTGCTGAGATGTGGAAATCCCAGACCAGTAGCTGATGAGGCTCAAAATCTAGAGGTCTCCCCCAGCCACAGCTCACTTATTTTTCACATGGCCCTCCCTACGTGACACATGTCTTTAGCCTTCCTGTCCACAATCAACTTTTGGTTTACAGAGCACTATCTGTATGACTCCTCCTCCTGATTCATGGCGAGCCCGTTTCTATGACCTGGGAAGTTTGACATCTGATAAGCATTGGATGATAAGTGTTAAGTATCAAGAGCCAAGCAATAGGCTTCACTCAGGTCCGCCATTCCCACAGGAAACTACTCCACATCTGACGGGTTGAGCCCTCTTGACAGATTCCTATATAAGGGCAAGCTGTCAGACAGGCTGGCTGCTGGATTGTACATAGTTGTCAAATAAAGACAACTGTTTGTTACTGAAGCCTCTTCCATTCACCCAGTCCAGAGATGGGTTTCAAATTTCTTTGCTACCGGTTCTATGGGCGTGGCTAGGGTGGGGGGCATGTGACTGAGTGGGCATGGCCTACTTGACGTCACTCACGCCCACGCAGTCACATGCCTCCCCCACCTAGCCACGCCCAAAGAACCGCAAAAATGTGTTTTGTCAGCTGGGAGGCTGGCAAAGGAGCTGTCGCGGCTCTTGGAGGAAGAAGGCAGGGATGCTGGCTGGTGTTTGCTTTCCTTGCCGCTCACCGCCACTCGCCCGCTTGCCGCTTTCCCACCCAGCTGCCCAGCTAAGCAGGGCAGGTGGGCCCGGGCTGCAGCAGGCGGGACGGGGGCAGCAGCAGCGGTGGCGAGCGGTAAGGGAAGCGAGTGCCAGCCAGTATACCTGCCTCCTTCTTCTGAGAGCCTTGACAGCGGGGAAACCGTGGCTTCTTTGCCAGCCTCCCAGGTCTGATCTGTCCCATCCAGCCCCCCTTTTACACACACACACACACTTGAGGCGAGCGTGCCGGGGAGGAAGGGGGGGGGGGGGGAGAAGGAAGAGAAGGTGGTCCCTAGCAGAAGCTCGTCTTTTTCCTTCCTCGCCCCCTGATTTCTCCCCAGCTGCACTGCCTCGCGCCGCGGCAAGCAAGGCAGCTCTCAAAAGAGACCAAAGCGGGCACACCGCTTCTTCCAACAGTCGAGGCCTCGGCCCCTCTTCCTTCCTCGGCTGTTGGAAGAAGCGCCTGCAGACGCTTCGTTCTCTTTGAGAGGGGCGCCAGGCAGATGTCCTGGGACTGCTGCACACGTGCACTATCCTCCTGGAGTGCTTCCTTCCTTCTTCCGCCGCCAAAAGAAAGAATATCCCACCATCCGTTGGTGCCGCTGCAGCTGATTCAGCTGGGGGAATGGGCTCCCGAAGGCAGAGTGTGCTCTGCCGGTGCTATTTGCCGCTGCTGCCACCAGCTGCTTCTATGCAAGAGATCCACCCACCCCCCCAGCGCGGTGCAGTTTCGGGACGGCGGGAGATTATTTCTTTCCGCAGCAACAGAAGGAAGAAAGCGCTCAAGGAGGGCAAGCGGACCGCCCTGTTTCTGCAAAGGCAGAGCCCCCCCCCCNTATCGTGGTGACCAAAACTGGATGCGATAATCCAAGTGTGGTCTTTATAATGTAAATTGATGCATTCATTGTGTCAAAATCTGTCAAAACCTGTCTGGTCAAACTGCTTTATCTAGGCAAGAAGCAACATCTGAAGTAAGTCTCGCCAGGCTCCACGCTTTGTGGAGAGTTGATGTAATTGTGTTCACACTATTGGCCTTCTTTAAACATGTAGCAAGATACATAAGCTGTTCATTCTTTTTTCATATATGTGCATATGTTTCGTTTAGAAGTGAATCTTTTTTTTCTGAATATTTTATGTATATGTCTGCTTAGACTTGTATTTGTGTGGTGCAAACTTGCATTAACCCAGCTCAAAGGAGAAATATAACTGTCAGTTTATGATCATAACTGATGCTAAAAATGGTTTTATTGATCTAACATTGTACTATATGAGCAATGTATTTTTTAAAAGGAGGGATTTAAATTGCTTGATTTAAATTATTCAGTTTTTGTAAATAACCAGAACCATATTTTCCATTGGGTCAAGGTTTTAAAATGTTACTTTAGTGGCACTTTAATTTTGTGATATCAATGTGATTAGAAAGGTCAATCTAATTTGAAATTTTAAGGGGCCAAGTTAAGAACAACTCTTTTTTGTAGTATGATTGTGACTTTGTGCTTTTTATCTTAGCATAGCTTTTTAAATAACATTAGTATATCCTTCTTATTAACTATATTGGTTTGCAAGGTTAATATAATAAATTATTGGGAATAATTGTGCAATGTAAATGTTTCCTACTTAATATGAATTGTAGAAGAAAATTAAATGAAGAAATCAGATGCAGATTTTCATGGGGGGGAAGTGTAATAAAAGGTTTAGAAAGTGGTAGAAGGTGGAATGAACTCAGATCTGATTCAGTTTCACACAGCATAGAAAATGATGCACATACATCCATGGAACATGAGGAAAGCATTCTCAATGCAGGATCCACCTTATAAAGGCAGCAACAAAGTGGTGAAACTAGAGCCTATTTTAATGTGGGAATACCATTACACTCCTTGTAAATATATGGAATTTGAGAAGAACTTAATTATTAGGTCTGTGGAAATAATCCCTGCATCACTGAACGTGCTTCCGCCAACTTTCTCTTCTTTCTTTGCATTGGAGGACTCAAAGGTGAACCAGAAAATTTCAGCCTTTTGCCTCACTCTGCAACTTGGAAGGTATTTTTGGCCTTAAGGATTTGCACTTTGATTCAGAGTGGGGAGGTCCAGACAGCGTCTATATTTACCTTCCTATTTAATATAATTAAATGATGCATTAATTGAATAAGTCCATTCAATATATTCCTTATTCTCCAGCCAATGAAGCTCTGAAACGCCATCCGTATTCTGAAGGGTCTTTGGAGGCGAGGGCTTGAAGGGGGATCCAGTATGGGGATCGTCCCGAGTCATTCGCCTCATTGACGGTGACTTCAAAGGATCCCGCGGCAGGGGAATCTTATCAGAGAAGCCAGAAAGGGGCTCTGGGCGTAGGGAGAAGAGGGAACCAGGAGGAGGCCCAATTCAGTCTCTGACCCAGAGAAAGGAGACGAATCCCACCCTGAGGACTCCAAAGATCCACAAACGGCAGCGCTTCCCTCAGAGGCGCATCTTTCTCTCTCTCTCTCCGCTCTTCCCGCCAGAATAGGCTCCTCCCTCACTGATCCACTTTCCCCGCTTCTCCGTCTGAGGGAATCCCACTGGGAGGGGCGTGGCCAAACGGAAAGGGGAGGTGTTTCGGAAGCTCCCGCCTCCCTCGCCCTGCAGCCTTTTCCTCAACGTCTCCCCTGAGGGGCGTCCCAGTCCTCTCCCCCCTCGCATTCCCCCACCCTTGACAAGGGAAGGTCACTTTTACTTCCTAGAAAACCTTTCACTTTTCCCGTGTCTGTTTTCCTTGAAGCTTTGAGGGTCTTTCTCTCCCTCTCTCTCTCCATTACTCCAGAGCTGCCCCCTCAGCCGCCATTTCAACGCCAGGGGCCAGCAGGGGGTGCTCTCTTGGCTGCCGACTGACTAGCCCACTGCGCATGCTCTACTCCGTCTGCCTAGTCGGATAGTTCCGGCTGCGAGTCTCCGTGGGAAATCTAATCGGGCGAGTAAGACAATATCCCGATAGTCAGATCCTCCTCACGAGAGGGAAGGAGATCTGAGGCTTGGAGGGAGCGGGAAATCCGCCCCATATAACTGCTCTTGGGTCTGCATGGGGAGAGACCCCAGAATGGGGCAGGGGGGAGGAAGGAAGCTTAAAGGAACCCCCGCTTGATCTCCACTTACATTGTTTCCTGGAAGGATCTTTGGAGAGCCAGCGGAGACCAGTTGCCCGGCGGTGCCAGTGGATGGAAGATCCCTTCTGAGCCTGGCAGAGAAGGCTTGAATTCTTCCATTTCTCCCTGATAGGGTTTGGGAGATTAATAATGTGAGTAGTTATTTAGAAAACCCCATTAGCTATATCGGTCTCTTGCATTCTTCCAAAGAGTATCTCCTTTGGAGCGACTCTCTTATTGGGTCTCATCCTTTGCCACTGATGGACACAAGAGTTTTGTGGGCAGAAAATAATACCCAGACCCTCTTTTGTCCTGTTCTCTTAACTGCTCTCCTTTGCTTATATTTCAGGTTCTGAGGTCCTTCCAGGAATGGGGAGTAATTGGGTGGATCTCACAAATCTTTCTCCTGATCTGTCTTCCAGAGGGATCCCCACGGATAAAAGTCAAGGTCAGAATTCTTCACTAGGTAAGGGGAGACTGTTCCACTGGATCGGAGACTTTCTAGAAAGATTCCAGTTATTCTTAATTCTCTGTGTCTTCTCGGGTCTTAGTCATTGGACTTAGTAGAAGGTGACCCCATAAGAAAGATAGAACTCCCTCTTCAAGCTAGAAGACTTAAGGTGCACAAAGGAATTCCCTCCCTTCAGAGCAAGCCTAGGACCCTAGGATTTGCCTTTCACAGAAGACCGACTCCTGTAGGGGCCACCCTGAGTTGCATTCTGGCTCCTCTTCCATCATGAGAGCTTTCTCTTTGTCTTTGGCCTTCCTTAATATATAATTTTGACTAAATTCCTACACAGATCCCTGCTGAGCCATTTCCAACACCACCTGATCTTTCAGGCATGTTTCCTCGGTTGCTAGAACATCATTAATTTCTCTGGTTTCAAACTGCAGGGGGGGGGAGAGAATTTACAGGGATTGAGCAAATGCTTCGGATGCCGAGGGTATAAACTGCCATGTGTTGTTCCAAAAGATTAGGAGAATAATCTAACTCAGATTTGTTCTTCAGCATGTGGTGGGGTTTGGTCTTCTCCTTTTATTCATGGCTCCCATGATGGAGACTATGAAAGTTTGTGTTGAAGAGACAAAAATGGAGGTTTCCTGGGCAGGACAGGAAGAAATCTTAATTTTTCCTTTCAAGCCAGAAAAGATGAAGTTGAAGCCTTTCCTGTTTCCATTCTGTCTCTCTCATTTCCAGTGGACAAAATGGAGTCACTGTTGTTCACTGAATCATCTCCTTCTGTTGATGAAGCTGAAAGAGCCGCTGGATTCCTGACTCAGGTAGGAAGGGAGAGATTAGCCATTTATATGGGGGAGAATTAGGAGACCTCTAGTTTCCTTTGGGGATTCAACCTATGATTACTGTTATTCTTGAGCAAGACACAACCAAGAAATTAGAAATTTAAATTACGATCAGTCAAACTAGGCCAACCTGTCAACAAAGATTTGCAGATCTATGGAATTCCTTGTATAATTCTGGTTTCAAAAAATCCCATATGGCAGTTCATGTTGCCTGTCTCAAATAAAGCAGAACGGAGACATGAATAGTTAGGCTAAATCTACTTTATTGTAAGTATAATCTTTTTTTCCTATTGTTGGGAAAAGGGATAAAACCAGGAGAAGCAGAAATTGCTTTGTGTATCACCTACATCTTGATGCCTGGAAATATATATATCCTTTGTATTTTCATTAATGTTCATGATTGGTTTTTTTCCCCCCAATTTAACTTTTTTATTAATTTTTTTAAGTATAAAATGCAAAGAAATAACATGGAAAAGTAAGAAGAGAGAAAGGGAAAAAGAGACATATAGTGTAACAGGAGAAAAAAAAAGAAAAAGGCATCTACTTCCGACACTCTTTGGCACAGTCGAAGGTAACAACACTAGAACCACAACTTTTTGCTTTTACACAACATTATGTACAAGCTATTTCTATAACAATAAGCCTATCTAGATTACAAAAACAGAATCAAAGTTTCATTTTTTTTCACATTGCACACAGAAAATCCGGAAGCAATTTCAAACTAGAGACAAAATTAAATATAATCTCTTTTGGAATAGAATAGAATAACAGAATTGGAAGGGACCTTGGAGGTCTTCTAGTCCAACCCCCTGGCTTTTTTGGCAGCTGCTGCACACTGCTGGCTCATATTTAAATGGTTGTCCACTAGGACTCCCAAGATACCTCTCACAGTTATGACTGTTGAACAAGGTACCATATATACTATACCTGTGCATTGGGTTTTTCTTGCTTAAATGTAGAAATTCACCATTGAATTTCATTTTGTTAGATAGTGCCTAATGTTCAAGTCTGACAAGATCCTTCTGTTGTCAGGTTTCTGAAAGATGCCCTAATTAATTATGCGTGGAATGCGCCCCCCCTCCCAGTTTTCTCACCATGGCAACTTGATAATAGACATGCAAATGCTTTGAGTTGACATTTGTATCTTGAGCTTATCTTCTGGAGTGTTGGCTATTCCTGCCAGCCTGCTGTCTAACCCGTATTTTTCTACTTTGTTTAGTAGTAAGTTATGGTCTACTTTATCAAATGTCTTAGTGAAGTCCAAATAAATTATATCGACCGTATTCCTCTACTCGACTAATTTTGTCACTTTGTCAAAGAATGCAATAAGATTAGTCTGGCATGATCTGTTTTTGACAAGCCCATGTTGGCTTTTGGCTATTACTTTGTTTACTTCTAGGTGTTCGCTAATTCGTTGCTTGATTATCTTTTCTAGAATCTTCCCTGTGTTGAGGTCAGGCTGATAGGTCTGAGGTTTCCTGGATCTATTGTATTTTTCCTTTTTTGAAGATGGGAACCACATCAG